AATGGCCATTAAAGCGCGCCGAAATACGCTACTATTCTCCGTTCACCAATTCGCTTCCATTGCGTCTAGCAACTTTCTTGGAATTGAGGTTGTAAGTTTATGAACCACCTATCCGAATTAGCGCTATTATGGACCCCATCTCATTGTAGTTCCATCTGTCTGCAGAAACAAAAGTAGCGTTTTGTTTCCAATATTGGGCTAGGTTTCTGATATGAACTATTAAAAACAACAATGTTTCATTTCTATATGTTTCTTGAAATTTAACCTTTTATCTTCACCGAGTTTCGATCCGAAGATGAACGCTTAAATGCTCGTTAAATGTAAAAAGGGCTTGTTTGTATTGTGCTACATTTTTTTCAGTTACTATCCATTCTATGCTGAATTTTTCATCTGGTGTATGGGACGTCTTTTTTGTATGTCGGCAAACATTTTTCGATATTCTTCTACTATGTCAGCGAATCTTTCTTCTAGGGGACTCTTGGAAAGATTCCATATTCACCTTCATGCTCTTGTGAGGTCAAGTTTTATCGGCTGTTTTCCAAATCTTCATCTAGTTCTGTGAATGTTAGTTTCCAAAGGAGCTGACTGTTCGTTCCTTCAGGCTCTTTCTAGCTGTTGATTGCTGAACTATTTCTTTCCATGTCTGGCTTGTAATCTGAACTTCTTCCTGTGAGTTTCTTGTACTTCATCTGCTGCATTTACATATATTCGAAGACCGTTCAACAATTCATCCCTATCTACGTCATCCGCATTCATAAAGCTTTGTTCTTTCGTTCCGTCTCTATTTTACACGCGTTTCATGGACGAAAGTATGTAATTGTCATTTAGCTTCGACATCAAATATCTCGGAGTACAAATCAGTTCATGTCATTTTGGATGCATATGCTATTTAAAATCATTATCCCTTAGCGAGCTTGTATTTTCCAGGTTTGAAATTTATATCCCATTTGTGCTGAGTCATAAAGCTAAATAGAGTTCGGGTCAGGTATTTCCATCTGAACTTTCCAATAGCTTTCTTTATATCTGTCACCTAAAGCAATAGTATCCTAGGGAAACCACACTCGTTCTTTAAGCATTTTTAAGAATTCTTGGTCTTCCTTGTTCTCTTACTTCTTTTATGTCCTTGTTGTTTGTGGTTGTGGCTGGTTGTGGAGTGGTATGCTGTGACTGGTGTTTGTGCTTGTGCTGGTGGATTTTGCAACTGTTGGTTGTATGTGCAGGGTTTTGAACAACTGTGGTTGTTGTGTTGGTGGGTGCTGCCTGGTGTCTGATGTCCATGTACGATGTAAATGTTCTAGCTTAGTCCTGGTTGCAGGTGGCTTCTCTTTGGAGGGGTTTGGTGGCTTATAAAGTTCAGCCAGCTGGCCCACATATGTTCAATTCTGCAGCCGTAATGTCTACTGACTTTTCTGTTCTTAAGAAAGATTTACTAGTGTCTGATTTTTGGTCTGTCTAGTAACTCTTTTTCTTGACTTTTCACAAAACAGTTTGCTTAACGGCGTCATAGGCACTTTTGAACTGCCTGTCTCGTTGCCTGCATCTGTTTTATTTCGTTCATATTTTTGTGTACTTCTTTTATGTCGAAACCTTCAGACTTCAGTTTTCTTTCCAGATGAGAAGTCGTTCACTTTGTTTCACCTTACTATGAAGAGCTTCGAAAGCGTTCTTAAAGTCAGCATTTGTTAAAGCTTCATTTGAACTATCTTCATCTGCTTGTATTTTTTGTCCTTATTGACCCTATGAGTTGGGCTGCTTTAGCGTTGGCTTGGGCATCTAACCAGTCATTGTTAGCTTTTATATATTCTGCGCTTTTTTCATTGCCTTTTTGCATAGCCGCGTACGTTATTTTTTACTTTCTTGTGCTAAGTTTTATACTGTAACGGTTTGGGTTTTTGCAACTGTAAAAGTTTTTCTCGCCTTTACAATTTGCTTCAACTTCTTTTTTATACTCATCGCTATCCATATATTGTCTTCAGGGCTTTTTTGTTTTATCTCTTCATCTTTCAGTATTTTATATTGAGTAGTATGGTTTTTCAAATTTATGACATCTTGTTCCATTTTTGCTACTTCTGCTGCTTTTTCTGACACTTTTTTCGCAATATTCCTCTGTACTTAGTTCTTCAGTTTGTCTTCTTTCTTCTTTTTCTCTACGTTTAACTCATTGAGTTTTCTTTGTGTGTCTGTCATATTCTAGTTTCTTTTCGTTTTCACTCTATTTGCTTCTGTATGTCTAATGTTTGGACTTTTTGACATCTGTATTTGATTTTTGAGTGAACTCAAATTCCATTTGACTTTGAGGGTTATAGAGCTGTTCCGTCTGCAGCTCCACCATAGCCTTGCCATTTTCGCTAAAAGTGCCGCTCTTAAACCTCCACTCTGTGCACCAACAACTCGGTTTAAAAGCATAGGATTGCTTGACATTTGTTGCAACATAGTGGGTCATTCAGGCATTGTTGTTGCAACTGTTTGTGTGGTGTCAGTTTTACTTATTGGATGTTTCAATGCTCTTCCTCTTACGTATATTCTTACGTAGCCTTACGTGGCATTTTAAGTGAAGTTAAAAAGCGGTTTTGACAGATGTTTATTGACACTTTTTGTTCAGCCAAAAAACTACTCGGTCAAGGTGTTGTCAGTTTTTGTAAAATAACCGTCCTATCCCATTCTATAAGGGAGAAAAGGCTTCCAAAGTATAACTTCCTTGGAACGCCCGTACTTTTTCCTGCAGCGCACGACTATAACCCTTCTGTCCAGACAAAGCTGTACTATGTTTGAGTGCTCTAACAAAAAGTCAACGGCCGACGACTCTCAAAAACCGTTTGTGTAAACACAGTTTCTTACCGTTGGACCAAAAAAGTATGATATAGAAAAACAAAAAACGTTTATAGTTCATTCAATATTGAGATTAAAACCTGTTTTTCCAACGTAACTATATAAATAAAATAAAAAAATAGTGGGGTTACCGTTGACCGAAAACGGTTTATTTCTTAAACTTTCTATGAGTAGTCCGAAAAAAACAGTCATTTTTGTCTAAGGTGGAAAGACCACCATAAGTAGCATGACTGACCATTCTTTACAAAAAGCTTTTAAGGTCAAACACTTATATTTCATACTTTAACTAGTATTCCAAAGAGGTTACACAGGTTTCAGTCCATCAGACTCCAACTCAGACACAAATTGAAAGCTCAAATTCAACCAAAAGAAGAAATGCCGAATGTCCGAACAAACGTACAGAAGCTCAAGTGGTTTTCAGGTCCACAATCAGACTCCAATCAGACACAAATTGAAGCTCAAATTCAACCAAAAAAACTGCCGGAAGTCGAACAAACCTCAGAGCTCGTGTTTCAGTCCAATCAGAAACCTCCAATCAGACACAATTGAAGCTCAATTAGTTCACACTAAAAACTCTACACTCTACAGAACCAGAAGTGGTCTTCCTCATTCTCAACAACAGAAGCAAGGATATAGAAGACTCATTGCAGATTATCCAAACAATTTGTCCTTAACAGACAACAATGACTATGATAGATATTATCCAAAAGTATAATAAAACCAGTCTGAAACATTAGAAACACAAGTTCAAACCCGACAAGTAATGGTTGACTTTTTCTTGTCGGAATTTGCCTTATGGTTATCCCACTATTGATATCTCTTCAAGAATTGACGGAATTCAATTCTTTGCGTGAACCAAACTTAAGAGATACAAGCTATAATGAAACAACCAAAGACTTTCGCCCTTTATCCCTTTAACTTACAATTGGAAAGAAGATGAAAACAACACGGTTTCTTTCTACCTGGCGATCTTTCCATTGTTGCTCCAGCTTGGTGTAGCGTGCAAACATCCATTTCGAAATAATCCAAATCTGCATTACGAAAAACAACATGCATATTATTCGACAACAGCCCTTTAAGATAATTCTGAACGGGATACAAATGGAGAAGAAGTTTTCCAATAATATCTGTTTCAAGCAAACCGATGCAATGCCAGCTTACAGTATGCAATTTCACTCACCAGCAAGACAATAATCTATCAAAATCTTGAGTTCGTTTTTTACTGGCACAGCCCAAAAATGTTCTCAAAAAACCAGAAACAAACCAAATACCATGCTTCTTATCTGGTATTGTGAGATGAAGACTAATTGGGGACCGAAGAAGACGTAGGAGAAACAAGCAAGACTTCAGACGATATCCAGTTCAGTTTCCATCCCGTAAAAACTTATAAAACAAACATTCCAAAGAATAAAACCATTTATAACTAAACAATCTTCCGGGGGGCTAGAGGGCACGAGTGCCTGGAAGCCCCACTACCTTTTTTTTTTTTTTTTTTTTCTTTTTTTTTTTTCGTATATTCTCTTTTTTAAATAAAGATTCAGAAACTATTCACAAACGGTTAATTCCATTTGGTCTACTGGCAGCGCTATTCCACATCATAGCCAACAATTCCTATACAAAATTCAAAAACTTTGGTGCAAATCATTCTAGATATTGCACCCAAGTTTTTTGAACTTTCTTGAAGGGAATTAAAGGGTGAGAGATTTATAAGTCTATCTATATATCTCCCACCCTCTAATTCCCTCCCTGACAGCGGGAAACTTTGTCTGAATGTCTAAACTATTCAGACAAAGTCTTCCACTGTTTTTGCGAAGGAATTGTTGGCTGATGTGTACTCATTCATGATCAGTAACAACATAGCAACAATTTCCCTTTATAAAGTTCAAAAACTTGGGTGCAATCAGAACTGATTGCACCCCAGTTTTTTGAAACTTTCCTTGAGGGAATGGAAGAGTAAGAAGGTATACATTATGGAATATATACCCTTCCCCTCTGTAACTGAGACTATTTAGCACCAGTTCATTATATAGGGAATCTGTTGGCTGTTGTACGATATTAATTCAGTATCATAGCCAACAATTACTGCGCAAACAGTGGGACACTTTTGTGTTCTGAATTAGTTACAATTCAGACACAGTACTTCCCGCTGTCAGCAGAGGGAATTGAGGTGGGGATATATAGATAGAATATAAAATTTCTCTCACCCGTTAATCCTCAAGAAACGGTTCAACAAACTGGTGCAAATGAACGACTGTTGACCAACTATTTTGAAATCTTGTATAGATCGATGTTGGCTAGATGTGGTAGCCTCGTTCCAGACCAAGAAGTTAACCGAGTGATAATAGATTCTCTGATCTTTATTTAAAGAGATGAAATATCACACGATTTTAGCTGGTCGTTAAACATCGAAAAGATTGATGTATTTTGCAACAAAATCTTTTAGAAGAATTGCCCCATATTAGATTTTCGTTTAAACAACGATTACGTTGCAACAGGTTTTATTCCTTCAATTTTAAGTTCGCGAGCTCGATGCAGATTATAAAACACAAATTGAAAAGGAAGTTCAACACGTTTATACAAATTAAATTGTTGTTCAGAATCAGAAGCCAATTTAATCCCATAAGATTTTATTGGAAAAATGCTGATGAAAACGTTTCTAATATAAATGAGAAATGACAAAATTGCAAACTATATTAATATCGTTTGAACTTCCAAATGAAGTTGTTAGATACTATATGTTGATTAATTTGAATTTGTTATATTACTCCAGATTATCATTCTAGACATATTCGAAGAATTTTGTTGGAGGATTTCAAGAAAGAAGAATTTAAATAGACTAAAATTTATTTATTTTTATTATTGTGAATTTTAAATTTGTCACTTGTCTTACTGTTCTCCTATTGAAAGTGTCACTATTTTTTGGGTTCTTGTCGGAATTTTATACTCTAATAAAAACTTTGGTGAAATTTTGATTGTTGCAACTGTATTCGGAATTTACTTCATCGAAATGTTTAAGAACTGTGTGAGAAATTAAGAATGTTTTGTGTTAATATACTTTTGTATGAATGTGGTTGTATAGAAATAATAAAATGTAATCATCCAGAGATGTGCTATTGTTCAATCTAAATCCTGTTGGATCTAAGTAACAGTATTCTATTGATGTAATTTTTTATTTGAATAATTAAAGCTATGATCGGTTCGAGTTCGGATAGAAATTTCTAGATGATCGCATATTGTTGGAAAGAAACTATCAACAAAAATCTTACTTATATATATAAAACGTGGTTTGGGAGTTAAATTAAAATGCTCGTATTTTCCATCATTTGTGCTTGTGCATGATATCAATTTAGATACGCAATAATCGCTCATGATACTGTATCTTGTAGAATAATAAGCATATAATGATTTTGTTATCTGCAAATGAAAGTAATATCTTGACTCATATGAACATGTCAATTAAAAATCTCCTGTTCTTATATACATTGGTGTTGTATAGTAAACCAGGACATCACAATGATTTTAATTTGAAAGGCGGTATCTTTTCAGAATGAATTTGTATTACACAGTCAGATTGTCATCATTTAGTTTATTTTGAAGCAAACCGCTACCATTTTATAATGGTCCATCTTAAATTCATCATAAATTCTGGTACATGTTAGTACCAGAGTCTTCAAATCTCAAACACTCTGGTACCAACATGTACCAGACGCGAGTTTCCAATGCCCTCGTACGATTTTCTATTAAGATCTTCTTGAATGAGAAGGTCTTCATAGAAACTCGTACGAGGGCTTCTCTTTTAAATACTCTGGTACCTGCTGGTATCGGAGTCGACTTTACAGCCCTTTCCCCAATTTTGAAGCTGGGGAAAGTTTTCAAGCAATGAAAGGGAAGCTCTCGCTATGAGGTGAAAATCTAGAATTTTTACCTCATAGCGAGTAATCCTTGTTAATTGCTTGAAAACTTTCTTCAAATTATCAAAATTTCGAGGAAAGTTTCCTTGCTTCAAAGTAGAGATGGAGCCCTTTGAGCCACTGCATATAGGTCAGTGACTCAAAATACTCCATCTCTACTAGAAATCGCCAAAATTTGGGTCGCAATCTTTGAAATGCGACGCAAGTTTGGGCAATTTCGCGAGGGACTTGCTCCATTTGGTGCATAGATTCACACTCTATGCACCAGATGGAACAATTCTTTCGCTGACAGCGGGAAACTTTGTCTGAATAGTTTAACATTCAGACAAAGTTTCCCGCTGTCAGAGAGGGAATGGAAGGGTAAGAGGTATATATTCATAATGTATACCTCTTACTCTTCCATTCCCTCAAGAAAGTTCAAAAACTTGGGTGCAATCAGTTCTGATTGCACCCAAGTTTTTGAACTTTATATAGGGAATTGTTGGCTATGTTGTACTGATCATGAATCAGTACATCATAGCCAACAATTCCTTCGCAAACAGTGGGAAACTTTGTCTGAATAGTTTAACATTCAGACAAAGTTTCCCGCTGTCAGGGAGGGAATTAGAGGGTGGGAGATATATAGATAGACTATAAATCTCTCACCCTTTAATTCCCTCAAGAAAGTTCAAAAACTTGGGTGCAATCAGAACTGATTGCACCAAAGTTTTTGAATTTTGTATAAGGAATTGTTGGCTATGATGTGGATAGCCGCTGCCAGACCAAATGAATTAACCGTTGTGAATAACGTTTCTGAATCTTTATTTAAAAAGATAAAATATCACGAAAAAAAAAAAAAAAAAAAAAAAAAAAAAAAAGGTAGTGGGGCTTCCAGGCACTTCGTGCCCTCTAGCCCCGAAGATGTTTAGTATAAAATGAGGTTTTTATTCTGAAATGTTTGTTTAAAGTTTTTTACGGATGGAAATGAACTGGATATCGTCTGAGTCTTCGCTTGTTTCCTCCTCTTCTTCTTCGTCCGAATTGTCTTCATCTTCACAATAACCAGATAAGAAGATGGTTATTTTGGTTTGTTCTGGTTTTTTGAGAAGCATTTTGGCTGTGCCAGTAAAAACGAACTCAAGATTTTGATAGAATTGTCTGCTTGAGTGAGTGAAATTGCATACTGTAACTGGCATTGCAACTCGGTTTGCTTGAACAGATATTATTGAAACTTCTTCTCCATCTGGTATCCGTTCAGGAATATCTAAAGCGGCTGTTGTGATAATATGCATATTGTTTTCGTAATGCAATTTTGGATATATTTCGAATGGATGTGCAGCTACACCAGCTGGAGCAACAATGGAAAGATTCCAGGAGAAAGAACCGTGTTTGTTTTCATCTTCTTTCCAATTGTAAGTTAAAGGATAAGGGCGAAAGTCTTTGAGTGTTTCATATAGCTGTTCTCTTAAGTTTGGTTCACAGCAAAGAATGAATTCGTCAATTGCTTGAAGAGATATCATAGTTGAAACATAAGGCAAATTCGACAAGAAAAAGTCAACCATTACTGTCGGGTTTTGAACTTTGTTTTCTAATGTTTCGACTGGTTTTATTATACTTTTGAAATATCTATCATAGTCATTGTTGTCTGTTAAGGACAAATTGTTTGGATAATCTGCAATGAGTCTTCTATATCTTGCTTCTGTTGTTGAGAATGAGAAGACACCTTCTGGTTCTGTAGGAGTGTAAGTTTTTAGTTGAACTTGAGCTTCAATTTGTGTCTGATTGGAGTCTGATTGGACTGAAACAACTTGAGCTTCTGTAGTTT